ATTTATAAGTCCCATTGGGGTGAAAAACAGTAGAAAAGAAAGTTGCAGGTGAGTATTCTGTTTTGAGACAGGATCTTGCTGCATGACTCAGATTTACCTGGAATTTACTATGTAGCCCAGATTGGCCTCAAACTCACCTTCCTTATGCCCCAGCCTCTGCCTCCTAAATGCTAGGATTATAGCTTTGTGCCACCATGCTTGGTGTTCAGACTACTATTCCTGGTTTGTTCTGCTGAGGTAGTAGATTAGAAGCTTACTACATATGTGCTAACTACTTTGCTAAAATGTATTGGGAAGTTCCTTATGGCAGATGTGCGTGAGGTATCGGGTGGAATAACAGTGAATAACAGGTGCCAGGATCTATTTCAATAGAGGGACCATGAATGATGTTTTTTTTTTTTCCACTTCCAACAGTTTACTGAGAGGATTAGCCACTGAATTTTAGTGTTTGCTAGAATCATTTGTGTTGAGCTCTGCTTATTTGTTTAAAAACAAAAAAGTTTGTGTTCTCAACTCTGCTACTTAACAGCTTCTGAACTTAGGGAAATTGTTTCTGGGTTCTTACCTGTAACACTTTCAAGTTAGGTTTCTGTTGGTTGCTGTGAGAAACAATTTTAATGGAGGAGGGGTTAATATATAATAGAGTTCAGTGGTAAAGTACTTGCCTAGCATGCACAAGGTCCTGGGTTTGACTTCCAGCATGGGTTGGGGGTTGGATCCCAGCACAGTTGCAGTATTTAGGAGGCAGAAATGGGAGGATCAGAAGTTCACGGCGAGGCTCAAGCTCCAAAATAAATGAGTTTGAAGCCATCCTGAGCTACATGAGACCTTGTCTCAAAAAGAAAACCTGAACCAATCAGTGAATAAATAAGTAAAATAAAAAGAAGACTTTATTTTGACTCACATTTTCAGAGGTTTTTAGTCATGGTCTGCTCATTCCTACTATAAACCTGCAGTAAGGAAAAATACTGTGGCTGCAGGAGGATATGGGTGATCTTATGTTGATGTCACAGTGAGCATGCCAGGAAGCAGAAAGAGCCCAAAGAGTACTCTTCAAAAACTTGCCTCCAGTGATCTGCAATCTTTTATCAGTCCCTCCTCATACTCCATAATTCATTGATGAATTCAGCACCCTGATGATATAATTATCTATTTATAGTACCACAAACTGGGGGCCAAGCCATCTCACAAACCTTTTTGGAGACTACTTTAAACCAGACAGTGTTTTAAAGCATTTTAAAAGGGACTTTCTGGTTCGGTGCCTATGACTTTTAGCAGTCAACCACATAGCATCAGACTATGAAAGATTAATACTTTACTGCCAATAATCATACCTTTTTAACTGTCAAAAATAATATATAAATTTTTTCTAACATCTGAATTGATCTTTATAATAATTTTTTGCTCTTATACTAGAATCCCTGTTGTTTTCTTTGCATTGTCTGTTTTCTAAGAGATTTTAAGCAAAGAGAATGCTTGCAGCAGGGACATGCCTACCCAGTTCTTGGAAGTTTACTTCTCTGAGAGCTCACTTCTCTCTGACAGGTGCTATGCTGCTTTCTCCAGTGATGTTTGTGTCCTACTTGCGGCCATTTCTCTTTTTAACCACATGTAATAGGATCAAGGATGAAAATAGACTTTGGCTGCAGCTTCCTGGGCTTTTATGAGTCAGTAACAGCCAGTCTTAATTAGAAATTATAAAGACTTAAAATATATCTATAGTCATTTCCAGCTTTGTATTGGGAGAAACAGGAAGAGGCTGGTTCACAGAGATAAAATGGTGTAGATGGAAAAAAAATGTAGAAGAAAACAGTCTAGATTGTTAGTCCAGTATTTGTGAGGGCAGTCATCCTCTAAGTACTAATGCACAGATTACCTAAACCGTTTTCTCTTGGTGTAGAAAACTTTGCCTAGAAACACTAACACTAACTTACACTTAAAGGAAGACCAGAGGAGTGTCAATGTCCACATTCCAGTTAATGAAGTTAGCTCTCTTCTGCTTTATAGAAGTGGATCAGAGACCCGAGTATAAGAGGTAAAACTACAAAAAGGAATAAGTCTTTGTGACCTTGGCAGAAATATCCTAAATAAAAAATGTCATAAGTACAAGCTAGATAAATTGAACTTCATCATCAAACTTAAAAACCTTTGTATATATAAATGCCATCAAGAAAGTGAAAAGAAAGGGCTGGAGAAGTGACATAAGGATTAAGAGCGTTCATTGCTCTTGCAGAGTACCTGGGGGGTTTCAGTTCCCAGAACCTACATGATGGCTCAAAGCCATCCCCAGATCCAGGGGATTTAATATCTTCTAGCTTCTCAGGACACTAGGTATCCTCATGGTACACTTACGTAATTGAGGCAAATGTTCATATCCATAAAATGCTGGAAGATTTCTGCTGACTAGTAGAGGTTGCAGTCTCCCCTTGCCCTGGCAGCTTATCTCAATAGATTGGCAGCATAGGGCTCCCTCTCTCCAGCAGAACTTCCTGCCTCTACCTGCCCTTATCCAGAGACTGTCCCTGGACCTGAAGGACTGACCTTATCTAAACCAGATGCCCGTCTCTACACCAGATTCCTGACTTATCTTTAGCTTGAAACCTGGCATAGATCTCTGCTGGAAGGCTCCCTTGGTGCACATATGATAACTAAGACTTTTGCTAGGAGCCTTGTGATAGGAGCATGCCATTTAATGCAAATTTGTCCCCAGGCTCCCCAATCCCAGATATTCCTTATACTTTGGAATAAAATTGAGCTGATTCACTGAATTCTGTCTCCTGGAGGCCTCTCTCTATTCATGCTCATGGTGCTGAGAGGGAAAGAGGACCCCCCCCATAATAAAAAATAAATTTAAAAAGAAAATGAAATGGTGACTAGTGGGATGGCTCCTTGGTCAACAGTGCTTGCTGTGCTTGTGGAGGACCAGGGTTCAGTTCCTAAAGCTCATGTTTGCAGTGTAAAACTGTATCCAGCACCCGAGGATCCAGTTCTGTTGTAATAGGAACAGCGGGCTACGTTCCCTGGCACCCGGCCGCCCACATGGTTAGCTTATGCCCCGAAATAATTACACGGAAACTGTATTCTTTTAAATACTGCCTGGCCCATTAGTTTCAGCCTCTTAACCCATTTCTAATAATCTATGTAGCACCACAAGGTGGCTTACCAGGAAAGATCTTAACCTGTATCTGTCTGGAGTGGGAGAACCGTGGCGACTCCTGAATCTGCTTCTTTTTCCCAGCATTTTGTTCAGTCTATTCTGCCTACCTAATTTTCTGTCCTCTTAAAGGGCCAAGGCAGTATCTTTATTTAACCAATGAAATCAACACAAAACAGCAGACTCCCACATCATTGTTCCCTCCTCTGGTCTCCATGGGCACCTGCATGTGCACACATGTGCACACACACACACATAGTTTTTAAAGTGAAAAGAAGTCATGAATCATCACAGACAAGCTTTATGTTAAACAGAGTTATGTGACCGGGCAATTCCACCCCAAATGAACCATGTCCATAGGAAAGCTGGAACATGACTGGATCATTATTGATCATAGCTCTGAGTAAACACAATCCAAATATTTATCTTTTTTTAGTTTAAAAGAGTGGGTAACCACACTGTAGTAGTCACTTATCATAGAGATGGTTTGTAAGAAATGCATCTGTACAAACAAAGTAGACCATACCAATATTGTAGTTGACTATGGATGGACATATTATGTGGTGCTTAGCCATGTATGTATGTATGTATGTATGTATGTATATGATGTGGGAGTGTCATATATCAATCTGTTGATTTCATTGGTTAAGTAATAAACACACTGCTTGGCCTCATAGGTTAAAGCATTGGTGGGAGGAGTTAACAGAATAGAATTATCCATAAAAAAGTCAAGTCCTGATACATGTTACATTACAGGAAAACCTTAGAATCATACTTGAGAGAAGTCGGACATAAATGACATATGGTTTACTGTTTTACTCATTAAAATGTTCAGGGCAAAGAAAGAAATTAGTAATTTCAGAAGTAGAAAAATAAAAAATGAGAAAGACAGCTAATAGATACAAGGTGTATCTTATTTTCTCCTTTTCTTTCTTTCTCTTAATGTACAGATAGATGTCATCTAAAGGTTGACATTGGATGTCAGACCTTAATAACTTTCATACCTTGGTTTTTGAGACAGGGAGTCTGATAATATTTTATTCTGAAGCTTGCCGTTTCAATCAAGGGATTCACCTGTCTCCATCCTCCCACCACACCAAACCCCTTCCCCCATGGACCCTGCTCCCTAGATGCTTGGGTTAGACACATGCCTCTGCTCCTGGCTTTTATGTGGGAACTGGGGATCCAAACTCAGGCCATCACTGCTGTACAACAGACACTTTTACCTACTGAGCCATCTCCATCACTAAGCTTCCTTTTCTATGACAACACTGAAACTTTAACATATGGTGATGGTTGTGCAACTCTGTCGGTATGTAATCTAAATGAATAAATATATAATATGTGAACTGTTTCTTAACTAGTTTTTAAAAGTGGATAAATGGCCGGGTGTTGTGGTGCATGGTTTTAATTCCAGCACTCGAGAGGCAGAGGCAGGTGGATCTCTCTAAGTTAGAGGATAGCCTGGCCTGCATTCCAAGTTCCAGGTTAGCCAAGGCTACAGTGAGACCCTGTTTAAAAAAGAAAAAGCAGATGAATTAGGAGCCTGGAGAGATGACTCAGCTTCCTGCTCTTCCAGAGGACCAACTACAATTCCCAGCACCATATCAGATGGTTCACAGTTGCCTATAACTCTAGCTTGAAGTGATCTACTGCCCTTTCTTACCTCTTTGTGCACACTCATTCACATACACACACCCATTTTAAAAAGATGAATAGACAAGTTAATTTAAATATACATATATACATATTTTATGGCTCACTTAAATGATGACATGAGATGGGATTGGGTGTTTCGTAAGCGTGACAGCTACACGATCTTAATCCAGCTTTTCTTTATTTGCAGAGATCCTGCATATTTCGATGATAATTGGCTAAACAGAATCAAAACTGAAGTGGGAGACAATTGGAGGTTAAAGGTATTTCTTTCTGTTGTTATCACCTGTTAAATCTTTAAATACTGTGTTGATGTTTACTATTGCTCACTTAGGTTTTCTATTGATGTAAAGAGACACATGACCAGAGCAACTCTTAAAAGGAAAACATTCAGTTGGTGCTGGCTTTCAGTTTCAGAGGCATAGTCCATGTTGGGAAGCAGGACATCATGCCGGTGGACATGGTGCTGGAGAGGTAGCTTCATCTTGATCAACAGGCAGCAGGAAGCATAGCTTGAGCAAAGGAGACCTCAGTGTCCACCACCACAGTGACACATTTCCTCCTCGTCGTGCCTCTCCCTAGGGTCGTTTCTTTCAAACCACCACATTTATAATGCTTGGTTTTTATCTAATATTTCCAGTAAGATTAGAAGGTTGTTTAGGAAGCCTGTAGCAAAATAATATGGAATTGAAGATTAGTAGTAACTTAACACACTGCCTGCCAGGATATGCCGTACTGTAAGTCAGTAAAGCCTATTAGTGGCAGGATTTTGGAGTCAGGGAGCCTGTGTTCACACTGCAGCTCTACCAGTTACTCTCTCTGACAAGTGCAAGAACCTTTCTGTGAATCACTTCTTCAACTGTATATGCCATTGGTTAAAATAAAATAATGTAACCTTTTGCCATGGAGAAAACCACTATCTTAAATGACTGTATCAGTTTAAAGGTGTTCCACTTTCAGGTGTTGGAAGTATGACAAATTAACAGCTTAGAAGAGCAAATAGGAAATAAATGATATATTTCCAAATACATTTTTTTCAGAAATACAAAATGTTTATTTATGATACTGTCTTTTTTGGCTTTGTTTTATTTTTAGATAGTTTGCTGTACAGCCTAAATCTGCCTTGAGTTCACAGTTTCCTGCCTTTGCTCTTGGATTAGCAGGCATATAAGCAAGCACACCATGCTTGTTTTATTGTTTTTAAAAAATAAGCAACTTTTCAGTTTATTTCTCTCTTAAAAATAAATGTTCTGGTTTACAAAGCTAGTTCTAGGACAGGCTCCAAAGCCACAAAGAAACCCTGTCTCGAAAAACCAAAAAAAAAAAAAAAAAATGTTTTCAGGGGCTGGAGAGATTGCTCAGCAGTTAGTAGAGCACTTGTTACACTTGTTACTCTTGCAAGGACCTAGGTACAGAACCACCAGTTCACATGTGGCTCAAAGCCATCTGTAACTCCCATTCCGAAGATCCCGTAACCTTTTTTGACTTTGGAGAACACCAGTTACACACATGGTGCTCATACATATTTACATGTAAGCAGAACACTCATACACATAAAATAAATGTTTGTAAAAATGTTTTAAACCAGAAGGTTGCAACTAAGTATTTCAGCTTCTTTCATTTGTTAGCCTCAAACTGTATTGTCTTTTTGTTCTAGGATGTATTGTTCTAGGATGTACCCAGCTACAGGTTGAGCATCATCAATCCTAAATCCAAAACAGTTCATATAAGGAAGAGACGTAACTAATGTACTAAGTACTAACATTGAACAAACTCAACCAGATCACAAGGATGATTGACAGGATATGGCACATTTAATCCAATGCAAATTTAACTGTATGAGGAGGGTCAAAAGCAGCTGAGAACTTAAAGTTTTTAATTAAATAATGCAGTTAATCTGCCTGTCATTTTATTCAGATAAAAATGGCTCGTGAACTTAAGTTCTGGAGTGAGTTAATACCCTAAGACACCGTGAAATTCTTCCTCTTATCTATGGTCCTCCTTAAAGCACTGGTGTGTTTTGCAATGCTTAATATTAGTCTGTTTTAGTATTTCAGGATACAATAGTAATTTTTTGTGGGAGGGGGTTGAGAACGGGTTTCTATGTTTACCTCTGGCTATCTTGGAACTCTCTTTGTAGACCAGGCTGACCTTGAGCATCCCCGGCTGCCTCCACCTCCAGAGTGCTGGGATTAAAGGTTTGTGCTGCCAGGGTCATAATTATTTACTTTGTTTGGTATTCAGCTCAAACAAACAAACAAAAAAACAGCCTTTTCTTGATGATGGAAGAATTTGGAGATTATTTCCTGGATTAAGATCACAGGGGGCTAGAGAGATGGCGCAGCAGTTAAGAGCACTGCTGTTCTTCCAGAGGACGCAGGTTCAATTCCCCAGACTTCCACAGCAGATTACAACTCTGTGTAACTTTAGTTCCAGGGGAGCCAACATACATGCAAGCAAAACACCCATATGTGTAAGTTAATTTTTAATTTTTTAAAAAGAATTCCAAGGATAATTTTGGCAGTAGTTTCTGTTTAATACTCTTAAGTTAGAGAAAATAGCACAAATTTAAGTTTGGGTCTTTAAGAATAATACATTTATTTCTTTTGTTTATCAACAGTCTGTATAATCTGTTAGGTTATTTATTTTCCCATAGTGTTATCACTAAGCAATAGTCTTTTTCTGATGTTGTTACTTCAAATATCCTATTAAGTTTTATTTTTCATACAGTTTAAATATCCATTATGGGAATTGAGCCAGAAGTGTTTCAGATTTCAGAAGAAATTTTTGGGGGAAATTTAGAGTTTGTTTGTTTGTTTGTTTGTTTGTTTGTTTAGAGAAGTTGCATAAACTTGACCAGTTGAACATTCCTAATCTCAAGATCTGAAATCTGAAATGCCCCAAACTCCAAATGGTTTAAAGTACCAACATGCTGTTGAAAAGTGTTTGGAGTTTGGCCCACTTGAGACTTGAGAGTTGTGGTCTGGAATACTTAGCTTGCACTTGCTCTGTGATTCACTGGAGTGTTTGTGTTACTCTGTACTCTGATTTGTTCTTGCCTTTCACCCACTTTCTCTCTCTCTCTAAACAGATAAGTAATTTAAAGAAAATTTTAAAAGGAATCTTGGATTACAATCATGAGGTAAGATCTTTTTTCTCATTCTACTTGAAAATATTTTTTTTAATTTTTGTTTTTGTTTTTTTTGTTTTTTGTTTTTTCGAGACAGGGTTTCTCTGTGGCATTGGAGCCTGTCCTGGAACTAGCTCTAGTAGACCAGGCTGGTCTCGAACTCACAGAGATCCGCCTGCCTCTGCCTCCCGAGTGCTGGGACTTTTTTTTTTTTATTATGTATAGTGTTCTGCCTCCACGTATGCCTGCATGCCAGAAGAGGGCACCAGATCTCATTGTAGATGGTTGTGAGCCACCATGTGATTTCTGGGAATTGAACTCAGGACCTCTGGAAAAGCAGCCAGTGCTCTTAACCTCTGAGCCATCTCTCCAGCCCCTCTACTTGGAAATATTACAGTGGTTTAAATTTTTCATAGTTTCAAGCTTAAGAAAAAAACATGTCAACATTAATAGTTTCTCTCTCCCTTTTTGCAGCTTTGAGGATGCTGGTTCAAATAACCAGTTATCTCTTAGGTGGAAAACATATCAATAGTTGTCATTGTTATGAGTAGCTTGTACGTGGTTAGTAAAATATGTTAAATTTTGTTTTATACTGCACCATCTTTTCTTCCTGTACTTGTCAAGGTAGTTTAGAGCTCATTTGGAGCATTGTGATTGGCCCTACTACTTGTCTTTTATTCAGCAGCTACCTCCTGAACTCTAGTTGATCTCACCTCATCCTTCAGCTATATCAGAGCATAGGCACTGCTGGGGAGATACTCACACAGCAGAACTAATTCATTCCATCATCACAGATGTCAATAGGACATAACATTCCCCAGAAATATGTATTATTTTCTTGGCATTTTTTCCCTGCAAGCAAGATATTTATGTCTGTAGTATGTATCTTCTCCATCTTAGTGAGGGACTTTATCACAGTGGTTCTCAGCTTGTGAGTCTCAACTCCAGAGGAGTCACATATCAGATAATCCTGCATTACATTACATTACAGTTCATAACAAAATTACAGATAGGAAGTAGCAATTAAATAATTTTATGGTTCGGGGTCGTCACCACAACATGAGGAACTGTATGTAATTGTCACAGCATCAAGAAGGCTGAGAATCACCATTCCATCACATCCAGCCTAGAATGCAAGTCTCAAACTTTGGTATCATTCTGTAGTCCTTTCCATGGGTTTTCAGAAAGGCTTACTCTGTAATACAGGTTGTCCAGAAACTCATTTATACCCCAGCGTTACTAAAATTCCTTCCAGGCAGAGATGTAAGCAACATCTACCCCTTTTCTTAAAGTCCCAATGACAAACGGAGACATAATTCCACCAAAGTTCACTCTTTAGAAACCAATGGGTTTATTGTGTTTCCTTACAGAGAACATAGGTAAAGGATTACTAAAGGGATGTGGGTGCTTCTCTTCCTGCTGCTAAAAAATGCCACACCTGGAAATCCTTTACCCAGCAGGGAGGGGGCTTTGCCATAGCCACATAGATAAATACAGTCTTCCTTGCCCTATATATACTACCCCTCTCTGACATCATGTGCAGTTAAGGTAGAGTTGTGTACAGTAGGTGGCAGGAAATACCTGGCTACTCAGGTGAGACTCTTTTGCCTTCTCATGCCCTTATTCCGGGGTCTCAGTCATCAACAAGCTCAGCTGGATGATCTTTTCTGCATGAAGGTGCAGCTGGATGCTCTTGGCTCAGGGGACACTCCCTCACTTCACCCAGGCTAGCCTCCAACGCATGGACAGTTCTCCTGCCCCACTTCTCTTATGCCGGTATACTAGGTTTGAGCCACCATGTCCTGCCTGATGACTTGTTTGTTTTCAAGACAGAGTTTCACATAGGCCAGGCTAGCCTCAAGCTCAACACGTAGCTGAGGTTGACCTTGAACTTTTGATATTTCTGCCTCCATCTTCTGAGTACTGGGATGTCCTTTAATATCATCATCAGCGAAATCAATTAGACCTTCAAAATGGAGCTTTCTTCAGCTCTTCTGCGACCACACATAACTAAGTTGTCCTTAGTTTGTCCTTAGACTGCTAAAATACTAACTGGTGAGCAATTTTTACTTTTCACTGTTGTGTAGTTCTGTCAAGTCATGACGATTGTAAAAGGAGAAAAGCCGAGATTACATTAATTTCCATTTTAAGTCTTCCATGTTTCCTTGGGTTGTTTGTGCTGTTCTGCTAGGCAGATGTGCTCACACTGGGCTATACCCCCAGCCCTCTGGTTTTTTATTTTGTTTTGTTTTTTGGATAAGAGGGTTTTGTTGATTTGTCCTCGGTTGCCTTGACCTTTAGCCCAGGCAGGCTTTGAACTTGATATACTTCTGCACCAATCTCTCAAGCAGCTGGCATTGAAGGCCTGTAGCCCCAGACTCAACTTGTGTGGTTCACTCTTACAGGATCAGTCTACAGTCTTGTCTTATGCAGTTTTATTTCATTGCCCATCCCTTTATAGTATAAGTTATGAAACAAGGTTGGGGCCAGACCTGACCCAGTCATTGTTCAATTCCAACCACCTGCAATGCTGTATTGTAGTGGACAGTTAATTTTGTAATCATCTCAAATAATTTAAAAATCAGCATTAATTTTCAAGAAATTGTGATATTTAAAATATATAAATGAGCACTTGAACATCTTGAACAAGTGCACAAAACACCATAACTGTTAGGGACTTTCTTGTTCATTGGCCAGAAGTTACCTGTAAGGATACTAAGAAATAATATTTACTAGATCTTTGGGGATTATGAGAAGTAATCATTTTTGCCCTAAGCTCCATATTTGCTTATTTTGAAAATTAAAAATTATAATTTTCTCAAAAAAATACCACAGTGGAAAGGAAATAGAAAATGTAAGTCAGAAAAGATGATGGTGATATTTTAGGAACTATTTCTCTACATGTCACTGTAGTTTGGTGCTGCACTCTGACCAGATGGGTGCTGCCATCAGTACTTCACAGTGAGAAACCCAGGCTCTGATAACTCTTCACTTTCTCTACCCCACCATACTCCACAAAACCTTCCTTGGCAATGCTTTGGACTTTGAGTCTGCAGCATCATTCTATGTCCCAGTTAGCATGACCCAGCTATGCTTATTGTGCCCAGAGAGGAGGGAGGTCTCATCCCTGCAGGTCACAGGCACCTTTGGAGTTTTCTTGGTGTGCTCTTTTTTTGTTTTGTTTTGTTTTTTGTTTTTTTTTTTTTTTTTTTTTGTTTTTCGAGACAGGGTTTCTCTGTGGTTTTGGAGCCTGTCCTGAACTAGCACTTGTAGACCAGGCTGGTCTCGAACTCACAGAGATCCACGTGCCTCTGCCTCCCGAGTGCTGGGATTAAAGGCGTGCGCCACCACCGCTCGGCTCTTGGTGTGCTCTTATATATATACCAGGTTATCTACCAAGTGCTGATGAGAAGGGCTGAGGTGTTGAGCATCGGTGTTTGTTTTGCAGCGTACTTCATGAGTCTCTACTGCATGATTCACTGCCAAGCTCCTTTTTAGCCTCACCATTCAGTGTTATTTGTAATTATGTATTTTTCTAAGTTACTTTATTTGTTTTATATGTGTTTTCCTTGCTTCATATATTTCATGAAGGTAGAATCCTTGTTTATCTTGGAAGTTTTATAAAATATACATCCTTTGAAGCAGTATTAAAATAAAAAACAGAATCTCCTGTAGATAGACTGGCCTCTACCTTTGTATGTAGCCAAGGATGACATTGAACTTGTCATCTTCCTGATTCTACCTCCTGAGGCTGAGCCACTCCAACCCTGACACAGTAACTTCATTTTCAGAATTTTTCTAAACTGTGTAGCTTCTCAGGAGGGTAAAGTAGAAGAATTTCTTGATCCTAGGGATTTGAAGCCAACCTGGGCAACTTAGTGACTCATGTCTCAAAAAAGTAGAATAGAATAAAACTACTGAAGAGCTGTCCACCTCCATGTTATTTTATAGGATGCAAAACTGAAAATTAGCCACATGTCTTGGAACAAGGAAATTTTGAAATATTTATTAGGCAAATAGTATTCAACCATAAAAATGTTTTTATTAGGACTGTGTATATACAATATGGTAGCAATTTTGTAGACATCTACATAAATGTACCTACAGAAACATTTATGAAGGTTCATGGTCTGACTCAAATCCTTTAGATGATGTCCATTTTAAAATTCAGGGTTTTTTTTTTTTTTTTTTTTCAAAACTAGAAAAGTAAAGTGTTACCTATATCCTCTATTTTGTGAATGCTCCCAAAGGGAGTATTGAGATTCCTGCAATAAAGCATAAGCGTTTTCAATCTTAATTAGAATCAACGAGAAAGTAAATAAGCTATGTTCTTTCTTTACCTCTCGTATTCAGTCTGGGAACTCCTCTTCCTTTCTCTCACATTTTCTCCACCGACTCGTGAAATGTTGCAGGGAGAGGTTCATGAAAATGTGCTTTGATGCAAGGTACATTTTGAGCATGGATTTTGCTTTATTATGCTTGGCCAACATTTAGCAAATCCTTAAAAACTGAATAACTTAAATATTTAATAGTTTTAGTCTTAGGAAATTTTTCTACTTTTTTTTTTTATTCCGTAGAACTCGCAGTGAACCTTTAAACTTCCTGGGCTGACCCTTTAATTACTCAAATTTCTTTGATTACTCAATCAAATTTTCTTTTTACTGCTTGTGTGTTTTATCTACTCCTGAGATAACTGCATACCTTTCTTGCTCAGCCATTGCAACATCCTATTATATTTTTTATTCCCATGAGCACATCTTTATTTTATTCATTTTCCAACCCTTCTGTTCATTTTCTTTCCAGTAGACATTTCCATTATATTTAAAAGATACATATCCTTTTGAAATGGAGGAAAGCAGAGGAGGGGAGGCCCTTAAATACGAGAGGCCTCACTGAGGTGACATTACTTAGGGAACTAGGGTCCCTCACCACTAAACCTACCCCAGGTTAGTAGCTTTTTTGTCCTTTGTGTTGTGAACTCGAATATTAATTTCACAAACAACAGAAGATGAAGTTTTAGAAAGGAGTTTTATTATAGAAGATAGCTTAAGAGAAAGGAAGGAAGAAAGGGTTGCCACTGACAGTCCCTGTTTAGGAGTTAATCAGGCCTAACTGGGTTGAGGCATGGGAGGTAAGCTTGTCAGGCCAGTTGTCCACACACAAGGTATTCATTAACACCTTCGCATCCTAGTGACTAGACTGGAATTTTGGCACAGCTTCAAGGATCAGAGAAGCACCTGATCATGCTTAACTTCCAGGCAGTGTGCTCATTAGGTTGCTATGTAAACCTAGAAGAATGATAACCAGAAACCAGAACACAAACCAGTGCCTCTGAACGTTTTTGGTGTTTCAGGCCTCTATTGAGGACAGAATTGTGATGGAACCAAGTACATCTCTGACTCAAAGACAAGAAACTGAGCTGCTGTTTTTGAGGTCTCCAGAACAGTTCCTTTTTCCTGTTTTTAATTACTGCTGGAGAGTGATTTACCTACACAGGAGAGAAATTAAATTTAATTGAGTTGATGGTATATTTCTGTATAGCTAAGGGTAACCTTGAACTTCTGTTTCTCTGCCCTTCTGATTGCTGGGATTATACCCATGGACCACCATACCTGGTTTATGTGGTGCTAAGGATGGAAGTGGCTGCTCAACCAACAACTGCGCTACCTCCCAGGGGCTTTCACTGACAGGTTACCCGACAGAGATTCCCATTGCTTTGCATGTGTTATTTCATTTGGGACCATATTCTCCATTAAAGGGATCTGCCATTCTCATTCCTGTTAAGAGTATCTTACTACAGACATTTTAGAGACAAAATGAAAGTAGCAAAGGGGAACCTCACTGTTGGTAGTGTGAATTTTTATTTAATACCAATGTTTTGGTTGTTTTTTTAGTTTAGCCCACTCTGGTTATAATTCATTATAGATCAAACATCCAAGCTGTCTTAGAACAGAAGGATTTTTGTTCAGTGTACATACCACGTACCAGATTAGGGACTAAGTTGCCAGGATGCTTGATAGTTGTAATTTAGGTGTAGGAAATAAGAACAGAAATTGGGAGTGAGATTGGCAGAACAACTCTGGCCTTGACAGTGAATTTCTAGTGATAACAAATCTATTTCTATTAAATATTTTATTTGGTGCTATAAATATGAGGGTAATTATAATCTCTCTGTCTCCATTCAGATTTTAGGACAGCAGATTAATGACTTTACCCTTCCCGATGTGAACCTTATCGGGGAGCATTCTGATGCAGCAGAGCTCGGAAGGATGCTCCAGCTCATTCTCGGCTGTGCTGTGAATTGTGAACAGAAGCAAGGTAACTAATGAAAGTAATATATATTGATACTTTGTATGTCAAGCACCAGGATAAATGGCATCTTTCCATGACTACCCATCTTCTACAGCTTTGCCTTCATGTTTAAATGAGTTCCAAAAGGTAGTCAATAATTTTGATTATGGTCATATTCCATCCCTTTCTCTAAGACTATATAACTATATATAACTGAATAGTTTTTATATTGTTGTTCTTTTTTATGTTGGCTGTGGAACCCGGTGACTTTGTTCATACTAAGTATGTACTTCGCTATTGAGCTATATCCCCAACCTCAATACATTGTTTTTAATGCATTTTAACTACAAATGGTGATATTTATTTTATTGATAAAATATTAATTCAGTTTGCAAAATAACTTAGGAAATATTTCTGTGCTTCAGAATAAGAACACAGACTGTAATGTTCAATCATTCTGTGTTCAAATATAGTTGCACACTTACAGTCTATGGAGAGATAGTGTGCAAATCTAATCTTTATTTCATATTCTTAGTAAATTAACATTTAATACCTACCTCACAAGATTATTAGGGGGGTCTAAGTAACAAAACATGTAAGTAATTCCAATATCTTGTACATAATAATGTTTCAAACAATGTTAATTTCATGGAAATGTGACTTTTTAATATTTTTTTAAAATACATATGCAGATGTAGATAGTTTTGAGACAGTAATTCCTTTTTACTTATATATTACAAGTTCTTGGGGTGTTTTTTTGTTTGTTTGTTTTTTTGAGACAGGGTTTCTCTGTAGCTTTGGAACCTAGTTCTTGTAGATCAGGTTGGCTTTGAACTCACAGAGATCCACCTGCCTCTGCCTCCCAAGTCCTGGGATTAAAGGCATGCGCCACCACCTCCCAGCTCATATTACAAGTTCTTATAGCCACAATTTTATTTTTTTGAGTGTTTCACTATGTAGCCCTGGCTGGCCTGGAACTGGCTCTGTATAAGCCTTGTTGGCGTCATATCCACAGAGATCTGCCTGCCTCTGTATCCTGGCATTGTAGGCATCTGCCACCATACCTGCCACAACCACAATTTATTTTATTGAAAACTTTTTTCATACAATATATTCTGATTGATTTCTTCTCCGCCAACTCCTCTCATATCTTTCCCATCTCCCTACTCACACAACTCCTCCTTTTTCTCTCTCTTTAAAAGAATAAAAACACAAGATGATCAACCATAATGTACAGTCAAAAGATGAGTGAGAAAAAGTATTTTGCCCAATCAAACAAAGCAATAAGAGTAAGAAATACTCAAGTTATCTTTCAGTGCCTTACAAATTACAAAAAGTCTACAAACAATACCGTTGAGTTCATTTTGTAGTGGCCATATGATGCTTGGCATGGAACCTATTCTTCAGTGTGGTTTAATATACCCAGAAAATAGAAAACTAATTTTCCATTGCTAGCAAATTTTAAAAATGTCACTTATTAGGTGGCATTTATGGGATAAGTCATACTCAAGTCATAATTTACCATATATGGATGGTAAATTAGTAAAACCACTAATTAGACTTAGAGAAGTTAGTAAGTTCTTAGTAAGTTAAATTCAGATTGCTGATATTGGAAAAAGTGTATAGCAACTCCAGTTGGTGGCATTGTTAAAATTACTTGAAGACCACCTTTGATACATGGGTAATAATGTATTTTTTTTAGAGTTTTTTTAATCCCTTTGGAAAATGTGGCTTAATTTGTATGGGGATCACTTGTTTAAAATACATTCAAATTTACTATATGTAAAGTAAAAGCATTACTTTTGCCTTTTGGGAGGTGTGTTTCCATCAATGTATGTGTTCTGCTGCATGCTCATGGTAGGTCTCTCTCGTGCGTTTGCATGCAGAGGCCAGAGAAGGACATTGGATTTCATCTTCTATCATTTTCCACTTTATTCTTTATGACAGGGTGTCCTACAAACTTGAAGTTCTCTGTTTTAGCCAGGCTGGCTGGCTAGAGAGTTGCTAAACCCTGCTTGTCGGCTCTCAGCTTTGGGGTCACTGGCATGCACCACTGTCCCCATCTTTTATTTGGGCACTAGAGATTTTAACTTGGGTCCTAATGCTGACACAACACTCCTCACTGGGCCATCTTCCTAACATAGGTTTGATTTATGTCACAAATGCTTCTTGAACTGATATTATGGAAGAGGGCTATAGTACCAACCAAAAGAGACACAAAGCCTCAAGCCTGCATAGAGCTTGAGTGGAGGAAAAATAAATCGTAGCGCAAGTTTTTACAGAGTAGCCATAAATGCTGTGAAGGAAGGATATAGCAAGTCTAGACATGGGTTAGCTGAAGGGCAGCTGGTTAAGAATAGCTCAGAGTAAGAAATACTCAAGTTATCTTTCAGTGCCTTAAAAATCCCACAGAACTATATTTGTATAGTCAATAAAGAATTTCGAGAAGTATTGCTGGAGAACAGGGGGCTGGGAACTATTCAAAATAATAAATAGTATTTTGTAATTGTATTAAGTTTTTTGTTTTGTTTTGATTTTTGTTTTTTAGTTCAAAGCTTCCCTTTCCCATTCACTCTTTTCTCCTTCACACTTGATAACGCAATAACAAGTTTCTATTTACTTGTTTCTTATACTTTTTTCATATTCTAGTAGTGAATAAGCTTAATAGTCAAGTATAGGCTTTAGGGCTTTCCCTTCACCTCGCTAACCGACTCCCATTTTTAGAATTGCTTTACTTAAACTGGATTTCTTTTACAAAAATATTTTTAAGCGATGGCACATTGATAGCCCCATCTAATCCAGATAGCCGCTATTGGTGTGGGTTCACCAGCTGCATTGTGTCCAGAAGACAGCACCTCACAGCACTCTTTCCTGTCCTGGAGCCCTAGAGGGATGGTACAGAGGTCTCATTTTAGGACTGAGCACTCTCAGCCACTTACCCAGTTGCGAGTCTCTGTATTAATCACTGAAAACAGAAGCTTTTCTGACCAAGAGTGAGAACAGCACTGATGTAGATGTATAATTGTAATTATTCAGATGACTGTATGATATCATTTTCATATAGCAAAATAACAGTAGTGAGATCACCCCATCCAGGGACTATAGCCTCCCCAGCCATGGACTTTTAACCAGAATTACAATACCAAATTTGATTTCCTACTGTGGAGCAGGGCTAAAATTCAAATAAAAAATGGTTGATTACTCTCATAACACTCAGGCCACTATTGCTCTAGTGATCACATCTTGTCTGGCAAGGTGATATTATTAGCAGAGTTCACAGCTGTTTAAAAGTTAGACAGGAAGGAAGGAAGAAGGTTCCAGTTGAACAGGATTCTTAATCTCTCACCCAGATTTGCAGTATTCTCTGGGTTCAGGAATACAGTAGAGAGCTAAGATCATGTAAGTGAGCCTCTTAATTGTTAATCATTAATTGTCGCTGTGAATGCATTGTGTGGGTAGATAGAGTAGGGGCTCTCAGAAGTACGCTTCAGTAATCGACTACCTACCTGTGGATGAGATGGTCTCTGCCTTTGTCCTTACCTCCAGAATCCCTTAGTTATGAAGACTGAATGAAACTGTGTCCACATTTGCTTTGTATTTAGCCATTGTTTCCAATTGGAAAATTTTAAAACAGTTGATGAGAGCTTGACTATATGTATTTGTTTGTCTTTTTTTGACCTCTAATTGGGGCAAATAAAATAGTGGTAAATTTTAAGACAGATTAATGGTAGAAGGCACACCGCAGTGGAGCACTGGGCTGAGCTCCCGAAGTCCAGCTGAAGAGTGGGAGGAGTGAGAATATTAGCAGAGAGGTCAGGTCCATGATGGGGCTGGAGCTAATGGGAGTTGCAGCTCCAGCCAGACAGGGAAGGAACCAGCATAGGTCCAAACTAGAGTGTGAGTGACAGTTGTATGGCTGGAGTAGACTGCAGGGCCACTGGCAGTGGCACAAGGATTTGTCCATACTGCATATACTGGCTTTTTGGAAACCTATTCTCTTTGGATGATTCCTGGCTAGGCTTAGATATAGTAGGGAGGGCCTTGGACCTTCCCCACAGCAACGGGGCTGGGGTGGGGGTAGGCAGAGGGAATAGGAGGATGGGAGGGAGTGGAAACTGCGATTAGTGTATAAAATGAAAAAAGATAGTCTGTTTTCTTTAAAAAATAAAAGAAGAAATCATTAAAAAATAGTAGAAGGCACACTGATAATACATCAACTGTGTTTGGGTTTGTTAGGGGTTGGTAGGATTTTTCTTTAACATTTCTTTTCTTTTTGGTTTTCTGAGACAGGGTTTCTCTGTGAAGCATCAGCTTTGGCTGTCCTAGAACTTGCTCTGTAGACCAGGCTGGCCTTGAACTCACAGAGATCCATATGCCTCTGCCTTCTGAGTGCTGGGATTAAAGGCGTGCCTGAGTTTTTTTTTTTTTTTTAACATTTATTTATGGGGAGCACAACCTGTGCCACGGAGTGCATGTGGAGGTCAGTGGGCATTTTGTGAAAGTCAGTTCGTTCTTTCCACTCTGGATCCTGGGGTCAAAGTACAGTCCCCCAACATGCTTGGCAAGCACCTTTATTTATTGAGCCATCTCACCAGCCATGGTGTCTGCCTTCAATCTGCTACTCTACTAAACAATAACAGAACAAAAAATACCTTTTATAGATTAGAAGGTTAGGACTTACAAATATTACAGAATTTGCCAAATTTCTTAATTGTAATGAATGGGCTAGATATAGGGTGGGAAAACATATTTCTTCAGCCTTTAAGCCTTCAATTCTTTGTATTAAATCATACTAAAAAAATTTGGAACAGATAAAATTGAGGGTAAGCCTCCTTACATTGTATGCCTCATTCTCTAGCATTGCTTCATGGGTATGTACCAAATAATCATACATAATTATATTTTTAACTTTAAGGTTTAAAGTAGTGCATATTAATTTAGCTGTCATCACCATCTTATCATTTAGTACTTTACGGTGTTCGCGGGGAAGGGCCTTGACGTGGCAACACCGCTTCTTAACTAACGCTTCCCCTCTCATACCTACTAATGTCCTGGCCTCTTTTTACTGTTGCTCACCTCATTCCCAGTAGTTGCCATTAAGCCTGCCTTCCCCATACCGTGCCACGGTGTCTTCTCTTTCATGTTCATTCATAGTCTTTGATATTGAGGACCTGACAATCATCCTAGATTTGCTAGTTCTTGTGTTTGATGTCATGTATCACAATGGTGTTGTTAAAATACTTAAAACAAAAACCAGGTTATCTGCTGGGGAGAGGCATTCCAATAGATAGGTCTAATGGTAATGTCATACATTTCATACGTAAGAGCCTCTGTACTATAACTTTAGGGTGCCTGTCATGTCCATTGATTTAATACTTCTGTCATCCATTTTTGGATCTGGAAATAATGAAAACTATTAACAGGGCTGTGTCAGAAGAAAAAGTTATTACTTCTAGAGTGACTTTACTGAGACCCTCCTGGTTTGGGCCTGGGTGAAAATGAGAATAATGTGGTTCTTCTTTTCATATAAAGATGCAGGATAGTAGTTTAAAGCCCAGGAGCATATAGTAGCGCAATTACGGGTTCAGTGTCTGTCTTAAATTTGTTATAGTTATTTCTTTCTGTAGTAAACAAACTTGAGAATTTATATAACTTAGTGCTTTGACGTCACATAAAACCAGAGTATTTTTACAGTGTCACAAAGGATAATCAAAAAGTCAACCTTCAGAGTGTAGAAAAGGTGGTGTGGTCCTTTTTTGCCCTGACTTTGGGCCTGACTTACTCGAATGTGTACTCATGCCGAAGCTCTGTTCCCCAACCTTTGCCTACAGCATCAGCTTTGCAGGAAAAGGTGAGAGGAGCCAAGTGTGACCATAGATCCCCATAATCCCAGTGCTCTGAGAGATAAGGCAGGAAGATCACAAGTTCAAGGCTAACCTAGGATTCAAAGTGAGTGGAGCGCAGCTATAGACCCAGTCTCAACCAAATGAACACATGTGAAGCAGGAACAGAATGTCTGGGAAACAGCTAGTGCTGTTCAGTGTTCAGACTTTGCTCACCTGTGGCACACATTTGGGGCAGAGTAGCCGTGAACAGGGGAGTCTGAGGAAGAATCCGAACACAGAAAACTGCTTGCAACGGTTTATAGAGTATTAAACTTCAAGTCTTGACCATCTTTTAACTTGAACAGTGACATTCCAGGTTATTCTTGTTTTCAGAGTACATTCAAGCCATTATGATGATGGAGGAGTCTGTTCAGCATGTTGTCATGACAGCCATTCAAGAGGTACGTTGATGAGAGCTCTGCACTCATTTGTGACGAATTAAAGGAGAACAGAAGAGCTCAGGCAAGAGAGACAGTGGTTTTAAGAAATAATTCTATTTTTGTTGGGCAGTGGTGGTGCTTAACTTTAATCCCAGCACTTGGAAGGCAGAAGCAGGTGGATCTCTGTGCCTAGCCTGGTCTACAGATTGAGTTCCAGAATAGACAGGGTTGTTACAAAGAGAAGCCCTGTTTTGAAAAAACAAAACAAATCTCTTTTTATTATGTGTAACCTGTATTCTAATTAAGTTTTAAGTACATTGTGTCTTTTGTGTGGATATTGAATTTATTCATTTAGCAAACAGTTCAAACCTTATGTTCACTAGAGACTGAGGCAGCTACTAAGAATACTAAGATATGCTCTCTGATAGTGTGTCTCCCTCTGAGAGTCTCAGAGAGAAAACGGTCACAAAGAATTCATGTTGTTTTAAAAGTACCATGGAGTGGGGGAAGAATATAGAACAGGGAACAGCTTTGGGGGGACATTAAATAAGGCCACTCAGAGGAGTGAGACTGGACTTGGAAGGATGAGGTGCAGTAAGAAGAGAGATGAGTCCAACAAACAAACAGAAAGCAAGACCTGCTGGCCGTGCTTGTCTGGTGAATGTCTGTCATTTTAGCACTCAGGAGGGAGAAATCAAGGGCCTGCCAATTCAAGATCAGCCTAAGTGAGACCCTGCAGAGAGGGGAGAAAGTCCAGGGAGAGGAAAAAGACCTACATGATGTTGTAGCAGCAGCAGTGTGCTGCATTTTCTGGAATCTAGCTACTTAGTCAAGAGTGTGGCATGTTGTGAATCTGTTTATCCAGTAAATTAGATGTGTTCAATGCATTTTAACTTAGGAAACTAGGTATTGGGTATATTACCCCATTGTGATCTGAAAGAGCCTCAGTATCCAGAAATGGAATTATGGGATTGCTTTCCTTGTAAGTATAAGTAGTACTTTGTATTTACTGTGTTTGTTTGCTTGTTTTGTATTTCCATAGTGACTGGTAATAATGAGCATCCTTTTATGCCTTTGTTGGCCATTGCTATTATATGTTTTAGAGAAGTATCACTTGAAGTTTAGTAATTCGGGGGCCTGGGGTAGCAGTTGGTACTAGAGATCAAACCCAGGTCCTCAAGTATGCTCTACTAGGGAGCTATGTCTCAGCCCAAGAATAGCTATTCAAAGAGTCTTTTTTACTAATTAGATGTTGATAGGAAGAGCACACGAGAAAAGGAGATCAAGGTTAATGGTTTTGGGTTTTGTTTTTTGTTCTTTTATGAGACAGGGTTTCTTTGTGTAGTACTGGCTGTCCTAGAACTCACTCTGTAGACCAGGCTAGCCGCAAACTCAGATTTTCTTACCTCTTTCATGTGTTGGGATTAAAGGTGTGCACCATCACCACCTGACTGAAGGTTTTATAAGGAAGACTGGTAACACATTGAACAGGGCTGTTGGGGAGCTTGTAAGAGACTACATGAAGAGCCTAGGTAGCCATAGTGGCTTTGGATAGGAAGAATTTCCTGTGGTGAAGAAGAAGGGGAAGAAGTGCTACTGGTTTTGTAGATTGGGCCATAGGGAAAAAAATCTCACCTGGGAGTGGGATTTTATGGACTCAAGGAGTTAAGCAGGATGAGAATTAGAAAAGGATTGAAAGGGGGCTGAAGAGATGGCTATGTGGTTAAGAGCACTGCTCTTCTGCAGGACCTGGGTTTGATTTCCCAGCACTCCTGTGATGGCTCAAAACTGTCTGAGACTGTAGTCCTAGGAGGATCCAACTGCCTTCTTCTGGCCTCCATAAGTAACAGGAATGCATGTGATGCACAGTCATACATGTAGACAAACACTCACATACATCACGTAGTCTTTTATTTTTTAAATAAAATAATTCTTTTAAAAAAGAAGCTCAAGTCATTCTCAGCTACATGGGGAATTCAAAGCCAGTCTGGTTCATAAGAAACCATGTCTGAACAAGAAGAGGAAACAAGCACATTCACAAAAGCTAGAGCTTTGGAGTCTTCATGTAAGGGGAGAAAGTCTCCAAAGAAGATGTTAGCAAAAGAAAGAGAATTAAACTGTAAACTATATAGTCTAAGAATAATAAGCAAGAAAGCTGGCAATAGTAAAACAAGATCGCACTGGGAGCTCAGTGAAGCTGAGGAGTGGGTCTGCATAAAATCAGATAAAATGCCTGAGATGAGAGAAGGTGCATTTAGAACGGATGTCTAGCTTTTCCTAGAGCAGTAGCTGCTGTGTTGTGATAAGGATGAAGACAGGAGGAGAAAACTATATGTCTCCTTCTCCCCACCTTTGAGTTAGATATATTCTCTCTGAACACTGTTACAGATTTTATATATTACTATATAGTTATCCTTTGATGGTTTTATACATGAATACATTTTGATCCTTTGACACCCCCCACCCTGATTACACTCTCTGATTCTTCTCCCACTGAACCCTTTCCCAGCAAATCCCTTTCCTGTTTTCATAACTTGGGGGTTTTGTTGCCGCAGCTGTTTTGTGACCCAGTGTTAATTAGGATTGCGTGCAGGTGGAGCATGGCCAGCGTAACAGTGGGCACACCACAGGAGAACATGACTCCCCTTTCCACACTGATTATTTAGAATGAAAGAAGTACTTGGTGTCGCTCTTATTATTGAAAAATCCCTGTTTTTAAATGTCTAGCCATGCTCCTAACACAGTGTTAAGAATAAGTTATGCTTGATTCTTACAGCTAGAGCTCTCAGAGAAAATGAGCACCAGATTTCACATGTTTAATTTTAAGTGTAGACATCACTTGGAGTGAAAAACAGTCAGAAAAATTAATTACAGAAAACAGTTGCGGGCTGGAGAGATGGCTCAAAGGTTAAGAGCATTGCCTGCTCTTCCAAAGGTCCTGAGTTCAATTCCCAGCAACCACATGGTGGCTCACAACCATCTGTAATGGGGTCTGGTGCTCTCTTCTGGCCTGCAGGCATACACACATACAGAATATTGTATACATAATAAATAAATAAATAAATAAATAAATATTTTTAAAAAAGAAAACAGTTGCTTGCTTATGTGCTTTAATTTCTTTTTGCTTTAGTAGTTTCTGGGTGCTCATTTTTTTGTATTGCCAAGAATGTCTTTTGCCTCATAATGGTTTAAATCTTAATTTCAGCTAATGAGTAAAGAGTCTCCTGTCTCTGCCGGAAATGATGCCTATGCTGATCTGGATCGCCAGGTATATAATTGTCTTTATTTGTGAAACAGTTGAGGCAGGTGAATTTCAGGCATTAGTGAGAAGAACACAGTTGAAATTGCTTATGGAATACATTGATAAAATACTCCATATTTTGCCTAAATTTAAGAACTTAAGCTAATTGATATTATACATTATAATTAAGCTTAGACTTTGTAGTAAAAGTAGTACTGCATGGACCAGTGAGGTGGCTCAGCAGGGAAGGACACTTGCTAGCAAGTATGATGAACTAAGTTCTTTCCCCAGGAACCAGTTGGTAAAAGGAGAGGACACAATACGTTATTGTCCTGACTTTGGTATGCACACTCTGGTGAGCGCATGTGTGTACACACATGCACACACCCAGAGAAATGAATTAATGTGGTACAGAAAAAGTACGGTAGTATTGCATAGCCCACTTTAAAACAAATTTAATTTGTGATAGTCCCTCTTTTCTAGTCATTATTTTCTTTTTATATTATTCTTATTCTTGCCGCATAAACCAGGCTGGCCTCAAACTCACAGAGATCAACCTGTCTCTGACTCCTAAGTGTTGGGATTAAAGGAATGTGCTGCCACACTTGGCTAGGAACAACTGTATTTGAAAAGAACTTTGCTATGTATTTTTAAGCATGAAATGCTGTTATAGTCAATTTTTAGTTTACAGTATTCTGCATGAGCAGAACTTTGTATCTTTTACTTTCTCTTATTTTTGGCTCAGAGTTTCTCAATGTTATATAAGAAAGTCTTTGGATATGATATAATTTTAACCTAAGTTAAAATTTGCCTTTCTATTTGTGGTATTGTTTCTTTGCTATTGTGGGTATATTTTTGGGTATCTTTATTAGACAGAGGTTTATATATATGAAATAAAGACACAAAATTTTATTTTAATCAATGTTTTTATAATTTGCTAACTTAGAATTTATTATAATAAGGGAATATACGTAGAAATGTTTGATGTTAAGAATCAGAATAATCCAGATGTAGTGGCATACTTACCAATCCCTGCACTCATGAGGACAAACTCTGAGTTTGAGGCCATTCTTTCTGGTATATGTAGGGAATTTCAGGCAGTCTGAGCTATATAGTGAGATCTTGTCTTAGCAAAACCCAAAAACAAAAGAAAAATAAGTGACTTATTTTCCATCTTTACCAAGAGGTTCTTGATTTCCCTACACTACCTCCCAAGAAATAAAAATGTTTTAATTCTGTGTTACACCTATATAACTTTACTACTTTATAGTGAAATTTTGTTTGTTTCTAACTAGTTGAAGAAAACTACAGAGGAACTAAACGAAGCTTTGTCAGCAAAGGAAGAAATTGCTCAAAGGTGCCATGAATTGGATATGCAGGTGAGAAGTTCTGTGTGTGCACCACACATACCAAATGTGCTGGGGACTGTCACATGGTCAGCTTCACTGCAGTATAAACTATAAGACAAAAAAGAAAAACAAGCAAATAGGGTTCTGATTTAGAAGAGTATGCTGTATAAAGATGTTACCGGTCTTTTCTGGAATTTAATTAAACTCATTATAACTGAATGTTAAATTCCAGAAGAAATAAAGAAAAGTGCTTGACTCTTCATATTGTGCCAGTGAACTCGCTTTCACACTTTCCATATGGGTGGGAGTCTTTTCGTGTGTGTGTGTGTGTGTGTTGCAGGGCACTGGGGTATTTTACCTGTGCCTGAGAAGGTAGAGGGAAATGTTGAATGTCCTGCTGTTCTGCTCTCTTACTGCCCACCATATTCACTTGAGACAGGGTCTCTCTACAGACTTGACGCCCACAGTTTTGCTAGGCTGGCTGGGCAGCAAGCTCCAGGATCTACCTGTCACAGTCCCTTATGGGACTGTAAGCATGCATGGCAGCATCTGGCTTTTTCTGTGGGTCCAGAGGATCGATGTCCTCCAAAGTATTTGAAATGTTTGTATTCTTTGTGTAGCACTGGCTATCCTGGAACACACTCTGTAGACCAGGCTGGCCTTGTAGTTTGTATTCTTACCACAAGTGTCTGAGACTTTATTTTCATCTTTGCCAACAGTTGGTTCAATCTTTTTAAATTTTATTCATCGTCATGAGAGTTGAATTGATATTTTGTGCCTTCAATTTGCATTTACTTGGCGACTATTGATGATTATCTTTCTGTGTGCTTATTTACCATTTGTATATCATTGGTGAAGTAAAGCCAGGTATGATGGCCTAGACCTGTAATCCCAGCCACTTGGGAGGCTGATGCAAGGAGGATCACTTGAGTCCAAGAATTGGAAGTACCTGAACAATGTAGCAAGATTCTATCTCAAAATAAATAGAAATTAACTTTGAAAAATTTTACTCTTATATATTACTTTGTATGAATAACATTCAAAATAATGTAGATGTTTACAATAGAGATGAATTGTCCAAGTGAGGTAGCACTCAGCAGACAGATCTACAACAGACAGAGGCCGTAGTGAGTTCTAGATCCGTAAGGGCTATCTCAAAAATAAATAATCAGACAGATGCTTTAATTCATAATGGTAATTCACAAGAGTCTGAGTTGAATAACCATTGTTCTAATTCCAACAGGTTGCAGCACTGCAGGAGGAGAAAAGTAGTTTATTGGCAGAAAATCAGATATTAATGGAACGACTCAATCAGTCAGATTCTATAGAAGATCCCAACAGTCCAGCAGGAAGAAGACATTTGCAACTTCAGACTCAGTTAGAGCAGCTGCAAGAGGAAACATTCCGGTAAAAGACCACTCATTACAACCTATTTTTTAAATTTTAAACAGTCTTTTAAAGCTAATAGAGGGAGCAAGGATATTTTGTTTGTAATCTAACAGATAGAATGTGTCTGAAGATGAGAATGCTTAAGCCACTAGTTAGCCCTAGAGGCCAGACAGCGGTCACACCTTTAATCCCAGCAAAGAGACAGAGGCAAAGGACCTCAGTGAGTTCAAGGCCACCTTGGGCTACTCTAGATAGATCCTGTTGCAAAGAGGAACAGAACCAGGTGGTGGTTGCTTACACCTTTAATCCCAGTACATGTGAGTCACATGACAGATGTGACGTGGGTGGTTGTGACTGCAGAGGAGAGTCAAGAAGAGTGTCCACATGCTTTGTCTTCTTCTAAGTAGAATTAGGAGCCACTGAATAGTGTTTATCTTGTTTTGGTTACAGACTAGAAGCAGCAAAAGATGATTATCGGATACGCTGTGAAGAGTTAGAAAAGGAAATCTCTGAGCTTCGGCAGCAGAATGATGAGCTAACCACCTTGGCAGATGAAGCTCAGTCTCTAAAGGATGAAATAGATGTTCTCAGGTAAACGGTTTCCCTTCAGGAATATCAGATCCACTGCCATCCAGAAGAGTTCCATTGCAGATGTTACAAACTCTGGCATCTGTGAGCACACATGTATTTAAAGTTTCGGTGAAGGGCTGGAGAGATGGCTCAGAGGTTAAGAGCATTGCCTGCTCTTCCAAAGGTCCTGAGTTCAATTCCCAGCAACCACATGGTGGCTCACAACCATCTGTAATGGGGTCTGGTGCCCTCTTCTGGCCTGCAGGCATACACACAGACAGAATATTGTATACATAACAAATAAATAAATATTTAAAAAAAAAAATAAAGTTTCGGTGAATAGCTAAGAGGCTATATAAACACTTGAGTTGAGGACAAATATCAGGTAAATGCTATGTACTTGTGGCCATCACTTCACTTATCCAGCACTAACTTTTACTTCTTGCTACTCTTCTTTGATTCTGAGCCCTCCAGGCCCTTAGTCTTTGTGTTAAATACTGTCAAGTATTTTCTGTATAGTACCTCACTGTTCGCCATTCTATTTCTTTCACAGCCTCATCCTCTTTGGGATACCTTTTTGTTTTTAGAATACTGACATGTACAGAGAAAATTACCTAGTTCTGTAATGTTGTCCTATTACGTATTAGGGATCTTTTTCTCTTACCCCTGGCCCACCCCTCATAGTACATAGCCCTGTCTCCCTCTTCTCTCATAGCTGTTAAATGTTTCTATGACGCTTTCCCATCTGTCAGCTGCCCACCACACCCCATCACTAGATGGCTTGAGTCCTGCCACCAAGAGGAAAGCACTTGTGCATGGTTGACTCTCCGGGCCTCCTTGCAGTCATACCCAAAGAAGACATATGTTAAATTTACAGTCTCCTCAGGCCCCTAAAATTTGCCATTCTCTATCTCCATTTCTCTACTGAAATCTTAACTGGGGTTCATTGGTAGCATAGTAATTGCCAAATCATTTGAACATTCCACAATTTATTTTACTTTTCTGCTAAGTGTGATTTTGCTGGTTACCCTCCTGGTGACTTTATTTACATTTTAGACATTCTTAGTGACATATTTTTCAT